AGAAATGTTTAGATATTAATTGCGTTTTTAATTCATTTAAGTTTCGTGCTGTTGAGTTTAGTTGTTTGCATGAACAGACGGATTCGCAGCTCATTTTCCACAAATTCAGAGTATGTACGAGACAAAATTAAACTCAATTTTTAAATAATTGTTAAGAACATTTCAAATTCTTTTTTGTATTTGAGTTCAAAAATATCTTGCGTTTTTCGCTATAAACCGTCCAGGCTCTATGGGCTTTAATGGGCTAAGCACATTTAAGTGCGGGAGCTAAAGTTATTCATAATAAAATAGTTTTTCATATAAAACTAAGAAACTAGATGAAAAAAACTTTTAAATTTTAAAAATTTAGCATTATGAACAAAGTGAGTAGATACTCTATGTTGATGCTTCACTGCGGTAACACACGTACTGTCCAATCAGACCGAAACTAACTCAAATATCGAAGATACTTAATAAAACCTTTGTCGAAAAAACTACGACATTTTCCGAAATTGTTCATGAAAATCGAAATGCCGCTCAAATATTAATTGGTTATCAAAGAAAATCAGTAACAACCAGTTTTACCTGGTTTGTAAGTTAAACTTGGTGTGCACAAACCTTAAAATCAACAGTAAACTATCAAATATTTTAATTGATATGCTTAGTATCTAAGCTGTATTAAAGGATTCATACCTTTCCATGAAAATGAGTAATAAATGTTCCTGATTTTCGCGTTGATAATTTTACATAGCAAGGAAAAACAGACCCATATGAACTCACGTAATTATCATGCGTGTTTCCATTCGTTACCGATTTTTGCAGATAAAATACGTGAAAACCTGCCAAATAGGCACCTCAAGAAAACGTTTCAACTTCCGTTTTCTCCTTCAAAAGACTGATTTCAAACAAAACAAAAACTGGCATTCAACGGACTAAACATGGAAAAAGCTAATACAATAAAGGTGTGGTGTGTGTAACGTGTAAATTTGTCGGTAAAATTGATCATTGGCTAAATCCTTTAATCGCGGAAACACTGTATTTCAAATAGACTTTTCATTGTCTTTGGTAAACAGATAACATCGCCACAGCCTTCAGGACAAAACAAAAGGCCATATAAAAAATAATAAAATCAAAACATTTTCGGGTTACAAAGGAACGACACCGACGATTCTTTGCAATGTTAGTAGTAAAATTATTTACATGCACCTAAAGGTATCATCAAATTAATTCCAGATCGAACTATTACTTCACTTTTAATCGCCGTGATATAATGTTAGCTAATGCTTGAATTAATGATTTAGCCCTTTGTTTGCACTGCGGGACTTCACTGATTAATAATAAATCCCTACATCTGGTTTGTCAATACAATGTAAGTTGATGACGCACACGCATAACAACTCACTCAAAATGTGATAAAGAGCTAATTGGAGGGTGGTAAAGAGCAATAGTTATTGTTAGTAAATGTATTTTTAGACCGAATCAATATGGTTTATTGTACTGAATAATTGTTGATGCAAATGGAAATTTTTATGCAAACGTGCTTTATAAAAACAAATTGGCCATTATGCTCTTTCCTGTGAAGTCATTCAGGTCTAAACCCTATTTGAAATTATTAGTTACTCCGATGTTGTAAAAGTACCTATACAGACAAGAAGTATACAGACAAAAAAGTAACAGGGTGTTTGAGATATTTACACTTTTTTCAAAAACGCCCCAAAATTTGAAATGGCATCAGTATTTATTTCTAAAACAGTAAATATTTTTCCGGCTGGTTAACTCAAATCATGTAAAATATTTCATCACATCTCGTTAAATTTCGTGACTAAAGATGATACTAAAAATCAAACATAAATACCAAATGAATCAAATCTAAGAAATGAAGTCATTAGTGCACCGATCATACATGTTAGTTCGGCTCATTCGACATAATTAAATCAGTTTATTCATTAATGAATAAGAAAATTATGAACGGTCATTTTGATATCGCGCTCTGCACCGAATGGTCAACCGGCATGCTTATTTATTTTGAATTGTGAACAAAAATAGTGTTCCAGCGGAATGATCAAAACYTGCTGATGCTTTATTTTGACTGAAACGAAACGCGCAAATTTTATAAAATAACCTTATCTRATTCTTTTAAGAATAAGTCTGAAGATCCAACCGTATTTCTTCTGGACATATAAGGTGGCACGTTCTCAACGCATCTGTGTTTTTTCAATTCTTCGATCAAATGATCAAAGTGAAATGAAACTCACTGATTTCAATTGAGATTAGGTTTTGAAACAAAAATGTGAAACGTAGTCCTGGGACGATATAACTGCACAGGAAAGAGCGCATCTAAGTAGGAGATTTAGAGAGAGTCATTTTGGGTCACCTTTTATAAATGACGCTGTAGGTGTAGTAATATCAAGATAAGGTTCACTCATTGTTCAGAATTGCAAAGAATGTATTAAGGTCTCGCTCCTCAATATTGCGTGAAAAAAGCCCTACAGGGTGCGTTCAACGCTGGGTCGCCCGCGCGGTCCTCGACACGGCCACCGACTGACCTGGCCCAACCAGCGGTTGGCTATGGATGGGGCTCGATTCCTCCTCCACGTCCATCTCAACATCCTCCTGTACTGAAGACCTGCCTGCGCCTGCTTCCTGCGACCCGACGCTGAAGGTCGGATATCGCTTGCTGTTTAGGCTCGAGGGCGACCTGAAGTCGCCTTTGGGGTTAAGCGTCTCATCGCATTGCTCATCGCCACTGCTAGCTTCGGAAGTGTGCAAAGTTTGCTTAAGACAGTTTCGGTCGGGGGGTCGCCCGCTAGCGCCCAATAAACCTAGACAGCCGTCGCAGGCGCCTCCACAACCCAAAACCCGCATGTGTCGTCGGGTGGCGCTTGGCTGTTTTCGTTTGTGGGTGGGAAAACGCTTTCTTGAATTGTGTTTAGGCGGTGGTTCGTCTGAGAGGTCCAAATTAACTGTATTGCAGATAGTAGAGCCACTAGCTCTAGAACCTAACTTATCATCCACCCCTCCACAAAACCTCATCGGCATTGAGCAAACGCTCCACTTCATTGTGTCGGTGTACATTTGTTTAAAAGAAAAGAGAAATGTACATGCTTATTATAGCAAAACGATCTAAGGAGAAGATCTAAAGTCTGCCCTCTTTCTAACTCTTAATATAGTGCAGCTGTTTCCACCAACGTTTGATGGCTTGCTTAATGGAAGAAATTCTACAGTTTTATCAACGTATTTTCACTAACCAAAAACAAATGAAAAAGCTGAAMAAATTGCCTTAAAAGGCGTTAAAAATATCCAGCTTGCACTTGCTGAAAGAAACAGAAAACTCTTTCTACCCTTGAGAARCATTTCTAATGARATTGTTGCACAAACATTGACACGTTGACGCGCCTCTTTGCCTCCCAGTAGTCCACCGGCCTTAAATCTGGCAATCTGRTTGGCCACTCAGTCGAACATCTAGTCTACCTACGTGSATATTTCCTGTCAAAATAKTGCAAATAACTCRAATTTAAAACGAGTTATCCCCTTTAAARAACGACATCGAACGACGATTATTCTCCTTTAACCACCAAAATTTGGCGTAAATAGCTGCAGTATATTAAAAGTTGAAAGAGAAAGGACTAAGATGCTCTCTATATCACTCTGTAAACGAGTCCAGGCAACAGTGCATTAAAATGCAGCCTATTATTCAATGATGTGCATTAAAGTTGGGAGCTTTTAGTTTCCATTCTATCTCTTTAAAAATTTACAGGGTGAGCCACACTAGAATTGAGAATTAACAAACTTTTATTCCGGGTCCATTTAACTAGAGAAAAGTATCTGCTGTGAACGCATTTTATGGAAAAACGCGTCAAGTAGAAGTTAGTCAGTTTAACAAAGCAGATAAATTGACGTTGAATATTTTCCCTTAACTTTCTTTTAAGGATCATAACGGGGTTTACTTTGTATTTTTAAATGGATTGCTTCTTTACTAAATTTAATAGGGAGTAAAAACAACTATGTAATTCTAACACTTCCATTGTCCCATGTATCCGTTTAGACGACGATACGAAAGTGTTTCTATTGGTTGATAAAAAAAATGTTTAACCTTATACGATATCGTATGACTTCCAACCTCACATTCATTGTTTGCATATTAGATTTTATGCTGAATTTATATATACATATATCGAATAATGGCAGATTATGTTTGGTATCTCATAAATAATGTTTCTTCTGCTATACATACGTACAGACGCATAGTCCGCAAATGACTTTTTTTACTTGAAAAAGTATACCATACACTATTGAACATTAATTAACACATAACGTAGCTGATAATAAATTAAGTGCTCTTTAAATGTGCCTTTACAGCTGTAAAGGCACATGTAGCTACATAAGACAGCTAGAAATCGACATCGTCTAAAAACTCTTTCGTATCATTGTATAAATGGATAACATGAAAAGATGTTCCGTGTAAAAGAAGAAAAGAAGCTACTGGTTAATTACTTCTTATTAAGTGTAAGGGGGAAAGCATAGCTTTACATTGGAAACACGAAAATTAAACCTCCTGAATTTGTCTCCCTATAATGACTAAATATTTCTATTTAATACATTTATCATAGAACATGCCGGTTTCAATACATAAACCCTTCTAAAATCAAATAGACCACCCGATATAGAAATGTTGTCGTCAAGCAGAATAATTCACTGTAGCCGCACCGCTTACAACGAGTGTTTTCTCTTAAATCAGAGATAAAGTCGCAAGTTTCCTCCTAAAATTGCCACCACATGCCCTAAGTTCCTAGGCATCGAATGGCAAATTCAGCTAGTCAAATGGGTTAGATCTTAGTCTAAGGCTTGCCTCTCAAAGTTTTAAACTGTTTTCCCCCAAACGAAAAAAAAATATAATAACGGGTTCTAATAAAACCATGAACTACTGAAAGTTACCGGTCAATTTCAATAATTATAAACGCATAATATAGATATTTAATAATTCATAGTTCCAGAAAACCATCACCAAACCGAAAACAAAACTAACACAAAAATTAAACATTCACTAACCGAATGGAAAATAACCCATGCCTATGGCCAGATCATATAGAAACGAGATAAATGGTAAAGTAGGATATAGCAACGTTTCTTACTATTGTTGGCCATCAAGTTCTCCTGCAACTTATCACGCTGATCCTCGAGCACTTCGCCCAAGTACGACGCCACTTTGCGAGTCACTTGCTCGACGAAAGCGTCCAGTTTTCCCAGGTCATCGGACAGGCCAACTAGTTGATCCAAAGTACCCACCTAAACAAACGCGTTATTAAATTTAAAGCTGGAAAATGGAAACTATTGATAATATTCTTCAACTTAATGTTGCATACGCTTTATTTTCTCTTCAATTGAATTTTACCTCGTGCATCTAACATCGGTATTTTGAAAAAATATACGCTATTGGCTCCTCTCGTTTAGTGCAATTTGAAACGGTCGTTGGTCTTTTGTAGATACCGTCGAGTCAATTTATTTAAATATAAACTTGCATTTTTTATTGATTTTATATTGTCGTTGGACTTCCTAGACATAGTAGTAAAATAATAGAAATGTAAGCCCAAGAGGAAACTCATTGTGGTAAATTAAGTTACGCTCTTAAATTAAATTGTTATTTTCCTTTGGTTTCAAGATTCCAAACAGTAAATGAGTAGAAAACCACCTTCGTCATATTGAATTAGAAAGATATGTTGCCATTTCATTGCATTAAGTTACTCCTCTTCTCCTCACTTATACAGTGTCTGTAAAATATCTTTAGATAATCATATTGCCGAAAACATGACTTAGTTTAAAGTAATTAAAGTATCTGAACGAAAGCGGACATTCAAAATACAGGAGAAAAGATAATTTTAAAAAATGTCCACACGTTTTGTTAGTCAACCTTTAATAACGACTTATCCTAATGATGCTCACTTAATTTGGGACACCCTGTAAACCTGGGGGTTTAATCATAATTCCTGAAAGGAATTGTCGACATTCTAGTCCTGTACTAAATTAGAATTGTTATTCCTTTTACCTCACATTATTAATTATTACTTAACTTGGGGCATGAGAAACTGGTTAAAATGAAGTTACGTATGTATGTGTAGTAAATTCATGGAAGGGCCCCTCCAGGAAGGACAATACTCACCTTTAGATCTGGAATGTGAAACTTGTAATTTGTACATAGGGAGTTTTGCTTGGATGTTGTGTTATTCATAGTTTCCCATGTCTGCTGGCAAGTTTTATCGCCTGGGGCGGATACTAGCCAATATTCCGTCATTTCTTCCTCGTGCTCAGTCACTGACACTAAGCTGGCAGTGTCTTTTCTGGAAAAAACAACAGTCTTTAATTAAAACCATTACACCCAATCCACATGCATTTAATGTCGTCATAGAATCTTAAAACAATATCGAAATGCCCTTACGTAAGGCCCTTGATAACGCCCATGTTAACAGTAAACCTTGGTAATTGTTACATGGAAAATTGATCACATTACTACAGTCACATGACTACACTAAACTTAAAGATGGCAAAACTACGAGTTAAACTGATGCTGTTTTCTGGAAAGAACTCTAGCAAATGCGTTAGAAAGCCTGACACCAGCTCTATAACACTATAAGGGTGACTCCTAACTTATTAATGAAAATAAGGCAGCAGTTCGAGTTGGATCCATGTTACCATCAAATACAAACATATAGAGCCAAATGAACCTTACACTATTAAATACACTGGTCAGTTACATGTTTTTACTACTTTACCAGAATAATTCACCACTAGATTTGGGTCAGCAAAGGGGTGACAAGACCCTAGCTGACCAAAATCGATAACTTCTTGATGGAAAACACGTAACTAGATCGGGTTAATAATTCACAACCGCCTTATTTTTAGATCGAAATATATTAGTTACAAGTTGAAATTGATTATTACCTTTTTCGGGGGGGATTTTACGAGAAAAACCCTAAATTGTTACCACCGAAACCACTCCCGCAAGGACAGCTGATCGTTATTTTCACGTGACTGTCAAATTGTCAAAACCAACCAAGTACTGTCAGCATCTGACTGATGGCTAATAAAAGTGCAAATCCACTTTAAGAGAGGGCGCGTGCTTTCGATACAACCAAACAAACATCGCGGGTTTCATGTAGTGAGGACACTGGCCGCAATTTTTAAACTTTAACAGTCTTTTTGGCTATTTCATGAGCCATAATTGAAAGTTAACATAACTATTCCAATCGTGCTAGATTACGAAAATCTCTGAAATACTAATGCGCTGTTTTTGTTATGGCGGAAAACTCAACAAAAGATTAGAAAGTATTTGAGCCTCGAATTTTGTTAATAAAAGCACATTACTTATCGGAAATTATTATCTACAATATTCACTAGTTGTAGTGTTTGTCGGGAATATGTACAAAAACTCAAAATAATTCAGGATGATTCAAAATTGGCGTTATTCCTCTGGGGGCGTTTAGGAAGAACAAGAAAAATGGTAACAAAAATTATTCTTATCAAAAACTGAGATATTTCAGAAAAAGCGGATCAGAAGGTCGGCAACAATGTGATTCAAGGTAATTTGCCCCATCAACATTAAGCAAATATCTGTTCTTAAATATCAAAAGCTCGAGTAACAATAGATAAGCAGAGAAAGTGCCAATGAAATGAGTTACGGTATCCGATGTAGTGAACCAAGCTCAACAATTGGAGTTATTGGACGGTCAATTAACCGCCATAATCTCCCAGTAACTGAAGAAGAAGAAAATTTGTTTTGAAATGTGGACAACTCACAAGAGGTGATCGGTCGAACTTCTGCCGGTTTAACTCCAAACATGTTTGTGCCGGTGCAATCACGTTATTGTGCATTACCGAGTGCATTTTGAGGAGCTTATCGTATTCGTTTAATTAACTCCTGGTCAATTTGTACCGGTGTTGACCAGATATTTAACGTATTTTCATCCACTATCTTCTTCAAAAGTTCCAGTTATGCTTGACTATCTACCTGTACCTTCTTGATAGTGACATAAAACATTATTGCCGCTTTGAATTGTTATCAAAAAATTGTAGAAGAGTACTTTTTAATGTCAATAATGTTCATGATTTAAAGCAGGTAGAAAGATAGCAATTTTTCTTTTCTAATGCTTAAGTATTACACCAGTAAAAGCTACCAATCAAACATGGGACTATTTCAAAATAATACTTATTAACAAAGTTGAAATTAGAATTCTAACTATTAACTTCTAGAAATTTCGGAAAATGTTTTTCTCGTACTCTCAAGTCAAATTTTCAATTACCCTGTATAAACGAATACCATTGGTCTTGACAATGTGTTTGACTAGACAAGTATTGTACTTACAGGTGGCTCTACCTGTACAATTGTTTCCAAATCCCTGAACTAACATACGAAGACGCAGAAGCAAAGACGAAACTTACGTTGAGCAAGTTTTCTCTGAGTTGTATTAAGCGTTGACTTACTTTAAAATTTTCTCCTTCCTTTTCCATTTGGAGCATTTCTCTTTTTCGCTTTGGTCTGAGCTGCGTGATGAACTGGGCTCATTTGGACTTCCTAACCCGAACATATCGCAGAACCATAATTTAATTAAACATTCAATAGATGTCAATGACATTGATGAATGCGGAAAGTGACAGATAAAATCTGACATAAGTCAACTCTGTCAATCAGCAAGTGTCATCATTATTCATCTATCTCCTAAAGATATATCAGTACAAAAGAGGATAGCCAATGGAGAGATCAAATTTCATGTTTTTTGTATCTTTGGTCAGACAAACATCGTTCTGGAAATGTTTCTAGGTTTCAGGCAAAATGCTAAAATTCAAAATTAATGCGAGTCTTCTGAATCGTTCATTCGTTGGCTCGTATTAACCCGTTGAGCTACAGAGCTCTAGTTTTCATTACCTGATAAACCGTTAAATTGTGTAATTTTTTATGCCAGACATCGTCCTGCAAATGTTTCCAGTTTTCAGGCAAAACGCTGAAATCCAAAATTAATGCGAGTCTAAGCATTGACTATTATGACGTGTTTATTAAAAGTTTCGTTACTCCAATATGAACCAGCTAGGGTGACTAAAATTCTGGATTTTTTGTTGAATTTAATAAAAAACGCTTTATTCGGAACCCATATATTTGTTTCACTATTTAATCAACAATGGCTCTGGCAGCTACCACGCGTTTGTACCATTCGGCTGAAGCCTTGTATGTCCTGGTCCTCTCAGGACTTTCAAAGTTTACTTGGACAATTCCAAATCTTTGCCTGAAAATTAATTTATTTAGTTATAATGAAATTTCACAAAAAATGTGTTGTTACGTGTATCCTTCCGCCCATTCAAAGTTATCTAACAAACTCCACAATGTGTATCCGGTCACGTTAATTCCATCATCCAGGATGGCTTCTAGGATGTTGCTCAAATAGCCCTGAATGATCAAGTATGATTTTCAAGCAAATTCTCAATTGCTCGTAAAACTTACGCTGAGATATTCGATTCTGGATTGATCGTCCAACTCACCCGGAAGTGTAGACCATCCATTTTCCGTGATAATGAACTCTCCTGGATTGTATTTCTTGTCCAGATAGTTGAGTAGGTGTCGAACTCCTGGTGGATCGGAAGTTAACCATGATGAAGCGCTGGTTGGCCATGAGGGATCCCCAGAAGTCACAATTCCTAAATACGACAGAGACTGATTTAAAGACTTGTAAATAATTAATATTTATATTACCTTGATCTAACCAGATGGAGGGGCTGTTAATGGCTGGCTCGTCTGTGTACTCAACAATCGAGCTGGTATATCTGCATATTTATTCAATAACTCGCATTTGAAGAGGGATTTCTTCCCTGTGGGACTTACATGTTCAAGGCAAAAAAATCATATGTCCCATTAATGTAGGCGATTTCCTCTTGGGTAAATTCCGGTAGTCGGGAGAACGAGTAACCTTCCAGTCTGCTCCGGTAGGCCACTCGATCAATCACGAGTTGTGGCCAGTTGCCTTTAAATACAGCATTGGCATATAAGCCAGCCTTAGAGGACAGTAAATTAATCCTCATTATTTTCGATAATTTTTTTTATAAAACGTTATTTAGGTAGCATACTGTTGCCTCATTTAAACTTTCGTAGATTGCACCCCACTCTTGTTAACAATGATGGAATCAATTACTTACGTTAAACTCGAAGCTTCTTTCCACAGCTTCCAAATCCAGAGGGTTCGTGCTATTTTTGGGATAATAATGTGAGAGTGAAATGTTGATGGTTACTTTTCCTGGAAAAACACTGTTTAAAAACAAATTCAAAGTTACATATGTACCAAATGAAGTCGTACCTTTTTGCTCAGCCTTAAATTCCTCCTCGTAGATTCTGTAAGCTTTGGCATGGGCTTTAAGATGATTATAGGCGCAGGTATAAACGCCATCGCCAATCAAGGTTTTCCCAGGAGCGTGAGTTCCCTAGTGCATTCTGTTTAGTTTGTTGATTACCTACGAACGGGAAAATTATTTACCTTTCCATACCCCAGAGTACATGTTGTGCTTGGTTCGTTAAGGGTGACCCAGTACTTGACAAAAGGCCCAAGATTCTTGTAGACAACTCTGGCATAATCGCCAAAATAATCGGCTATCTGGGGGTTGAGCCACCCACCTAGATCTTCCAGGTGCTGGGGCAAGTCCCAGTGGTAGAGAGTTACTATGGGCTCTATATCGTTAGCGTGCAATTCCTTTATGTAAAAAACGCCTTGAAATGTTTGCCCTATTACCCAGATAGCACAAAATATTACATACATATTTAG